ATAATAATAATGTACTTTAAGAATACTACTGACAAAGTGCACAGTGCAGTGGATTCCTTAATAATGTGTTGCATGAAGATGGCCCCGTATGGCCAAAACATAGAGCGCATAAACATGGAAAGTATATATTGTTTTAATGACATTTTAAACATTTTAGTGAATTAATTGTGGATTAGTGTCATCTAAAATTATCATTAATATTGTTACATTGTAAACAGAAGAAGACTAAGTAATACTTCAATGTAAGATGATGCTGAAATATAATACAATGGGATAATATAACATATGCTGCTGTAAATTTATCTCTCCACATTATTATTAAGATACAGTGAAACTGAAATTAAATGGGAATCTTCCAGTATTATATAATTTCTCTGGTCCTGAGAATATAGAATGATAACTAATGTANGTAGACTCCAGGCAGGGAGATCCTTCTCCAGGTAAGCCAGTGTAAGCATTGTAAGTTTCTTGAAATACTGAAGGTGGTATTATCTGGTAACTTTTAACGCCGGACTTCGAAATAGTGGTAAGCTTGAGCTGGCCGGAGTTTATTTAAATGCCCGCTGCTGGTGCGCGTTTAAATGCCTGTTGCTACTCTGCGTTTAAATGTCCGTTCCTGTTTGGGTGCTTAAACAATTTTTACCATTGTGTTTAAAAATGCTGTATCTAACTCAATTTTTATGATAAATGGATGGAATTACCTTTATTCATATCAGCAAAGAACATAATGTCGCATATTATAACAGAAGATTTGAAAATTTTTATACATAGACTTATACTCTATTTCCAATATTTTTCTTTTAATTTTGATGAGTACTGCAAAAATTGTTTCCCAGTTCTTCACAGACTTGTTCTGCATTATAAATTCTTTTCTGTTTGTAACACTTGACAAAGTTAGCAGTCCCTGGAGTCATAAAACAGATGGAAGCAATAAAATCATTTGGTCTTCTGGTAGCACTGCTTACACTCTTTGGATTTTCGAATCTTTTGACTAAAGGACAGAAGAATGAAAGAATGGCTACTCAAGAGAAAGCTAGAGGGGTCCCTTCTTCAGTGCTAAGACCTTCCGTTATAGCTGCAAAAGATTACTGCCCTTTCTAGGGTCGTGAACAGACAGTTGCATCATGGCTGATACAGAGTGCATTCATAGTGAAATCGAATACTGTAGTTTCATTTTAGCCTATATATACATCAAGCAGATAACAACAAAAAAGGTACGTACATTGAATTTTACTATATATTTTTAACACATTAATCTGCAGAATCTGGAATAAAAGTATTGGCTCGTAGATGAGTTTGGGCATAACTCATACGTAATTCTTTTTTGCTGTTGTTCACTTAGGTATCATTTTAATTCCTCTATTGTGGTTTTACTCAAGTCTGTCTGGTAATTACTACATTTAAAAATAAATATTTAGGACTGTGCATGCGCTTCTACTAGCGGTGTGTGCGCGTGCTTCCACTAGCGGAGTTTAAATGCCCGACTGGCCAAAACGAGGTTCTTTGGCCATGACGACCATACTCATCACTGGCCCAATTGGGGCACTTTGGATGTTAAAAGTTAATTTTAGGTATAAAATTTTATACATTTCCTTTTTATTTTCAATTTTGATCGTTTTTTCCAAATCCAGGGAAGGGAGATGCCTGGCTTGCCCCACATCTTAACTGCCAACACACATTATTCAGAAATGTGCTTCATAGACTTTTTCTGAGAAGGAATATTTCTGTCTCAAAAGGGAAAGATTTGGCAATAGACAAAAGATATGAAGAATACTTGAAAGGAAACAAAAAATGTATATTACAGAGTGACATGTGCACAAGTAGCAAGTAGCAAGATATTAACTTTTAATCTGGATTAATATATTGTGACATGTTGCGCAAAGGAGAACCCCCCCCACCAGCAGTGACACGGCGGGTGAGTCAGCGCTCCCCTCCCCCTCCTCCGCACGGTAACGTAACGGTGACGCAACAGGATTGTTACGGTAGTAACAGTGGTTACTACCGCTAGCATTACTAGCAACACGGCGCCAGGCAACAAGGGTGCCTATTACGTGGCCGTTTTCCGTATGGTCCGATCAAGGCTACATGGGGAGCAGCGAAGGCTATTCACAGTCAGTTGTACTGAGTCAGTCAGTCAGGAGTCCTGGAGCTACCTCCGAGTTAGTGCCGAGTTAGCCAGCAACCAGTCAGTTGTATTGTGGCATTTGGAGTGTACTAGTTGTGATACTGCAGATAGCAGTAATCGTAAATCTGTAATTTGGGTGACTGTAAGTGCGAAGTGAAATAAAATTCGCTATACCAAATACGGCGTGAATATATAATTACTTTCATTCAGAAGTAAAAACCTGTATTAAACAGAAATCTGTCTGAAACAGGAAAGATGGTAGGTCCATTGTGATTTTGTTTCAAGCATATTCTACTGTAATTGCAAAACACAGTTGAAAAGTATTTTCCATTGTTAAAATGTTACCTTTAAGTAATGAGTCTGGAACACCACAGAAGAAACTTATACCAATATCACGTAGAGCCCTGTAGAAGTCACCAGGATCCAGAAAATCTCGAACAAGTTCTGTCATATGACCTCTTTCTAGATTTTGCTTTATTTGCTCTTGCACTTGCTGAAAGTAAATAAAATGATTTCACTTTCAATTCTTCTGTAAGATTCTTCAAAATTAACTAAGCAGTCAACAAAACAACTAGCTAACAGGTAACTACATAGAGCAGAGTCCTTCTTACAAGGCAGACAATTGCTTAGCTGGTCAAGATATTCCCTACCTTTTAGGGCACAAAAGTGATCATTACTGCATTCACAAAACCCCATCACTGGAACTTGACCTGAGCCAGTTGAATCCAGTCCAGTCAACTGAGATGCTTGACATATATTAAGAAGCTTATGAGGATGAAGGTATATGCAGAACAAGAGTTTCAGAAAGGCTCAAAATGGTTGAAGGAGGTAGCAAAGATGTGTCTGATGATACACAATGCAGGTATTCCCTCACCTACAGTGCCAATGAAAATGATGAAAAGGTCTGGTTTGTTCATTCAGCCAATGATTAACAATGAAAACAAGAGAGAATCTGTTTTTTTCTTTCTTCATTTTTTTCTCCCTTTCTCTTGAGTTCAATTTGGATAAAGAAACAAACTCATTTTGAAAGAGAACTTGAACATGAGAACTGTTTGCAAGAATACTGTGTCACACAATCAGAATAAGGAACAGTAACACTGAAGACTTGACATTTGTACTGATCATCCAAGTGAAGCAGGATATAAATAACATGATTTCTGAGGAAAGCATTGTGATTTGATAATAATTAGATATTGAAAAACGTTCTGTTGACCATAGCTGGCAGCACAGAACTGATAAGCTGACCTTGTAATTATTGCACTTGAAGTTGAAATACATTTCATATCCTTTCCACAGACAAGCATCTACTACCTCAAACAATACATGAAAACTAATCTCATTACTTTATAGCTACACCTTTGGGTAAACTCAAACATTTTCAGCATTTCCATACAGTACTTGTAATTTTTAACAGAAAGAATATATTTCATTTAGAATTTGAAATGTATTTAAAATCTACACCTGTATCAAATTTTGTTAGTCACCTATACCAAAATGAAAAATAAATCTGAACTTAAAGCAGTTCCCATGTTATTTCTGCACAAAAATTATATTAATAACACTTGTCTTTGAGCTATTACCACATAAAATTCAGGATGAAAAAAAAACATTTACCATATCTTGCACATCTCCAGGACTTCTAGTGCTGAAAGGAAGTCGACCAATTCTTATCTGAAGAGCACCCAATAATGTACGTCTTAACAGAACAGGGATCATCTTCTGGCACAGATTCTGTTAAAATAATTACTGTTCATGCATGTCCAAAATACATTATTCAAGTCTGCAGTCAAAAAAAGTAAAAAATTAGAATATACAAAACTATAATTTTGCCTGTGGCTTTATAGGGTGTGAAATTTGGTCTCTGACATTAAGGGAGGTACATAGACTGAGGGAGTTTCATAACTTGTACTCTTTGCCAAGCATAATCAATATGATCAAGTCAAGGAGGATGAGATGGGCAGGGCATGTAGCATGCACAGGAGAGAAGACATATAGGACATTGGTGGGAAAGCCAAGAAGAAAGAGATCACTAGAAAGACAAAGATGTAGGTGGGTGGATAATATTAAAATTGACCTTAGAGAGATAGGTTGGGATGGTAGGGACTGGATTGATCTGGCTCAGGAAAGAGACCAGTGGAGGGCTCTTGTGAACATAGTAATGAACCTTCGTATTTCCATAAATTGCTGGGAAGTTCTTGAGTAGCCACACAATTGGCAGTTTCTCAAGAAGGGCACAGCTACATGACGTTAGTTAGTCAGTCTTTAAAGAAATGATAACAGACAATTATCAGTTCATGCTTCAGTTGATGGATGATAAATCTTGTAGCCTTTGTCAGTCTGCATCAGCAGTCCAGAAAGTTAGCAACAAATTTATTTCAGCATGTTACAATGAGGATGGATGTAGATTACACACAATTTTAATATATGTAACTGTCTTCATGAATACTCAACAAATATTATTGGTACGTGCCACTGTCATGGGCATGTAATGGTTCCCAAGGATTAGACATTCCTTGCTTTCATTGAACTCAGTCTTTTGACAATGTATTTACCCAAGCACTGTACTGTGTCCTGAACCAGTCAAATCCAGGACAAAATATTCCATGACTACAGAGTCCAAGTCTGAACTATGACCACATCATATTTGGGTAAACATGAGTACAGGCTAAACCGGTGCTGGCAATGTGGTTAAACCCATCAGTTTAATAACTCCACATAGCAGAGTCCTTGAGAAGCTATTGACTACTGTCTTGAAATATATATGTTATAGAAATATATTCTAAAGATTATTAAATTCATATAACTGGAATATTACATAGAAAGAAGGAAAGATTGGATCAACTGAGTGCCTGTCAGTTTGTTTAGAAGGAATTTGCTACATCATATTAGTATGCCCAGTCAGTATTTCATTGTGTGTAATTAGTTTAAATTAATACAGGGATGTAAGAGAGGAGGATGGGTCATCAGATTTCATACAATTCCATAACCTAATCAACCATCCAACCAACATGTCCTAAGCTTACAATGCCTGGGTAAATATTAAAAAATCAAATTTTACAAGTTCTTAGATTTTCATTCATGGGACAGTGAACCCATCTTCTTACAAATATCAGTTATTCTGTGCAGAAAATTCAACATATATTATCAAAAAAAAAGTTAATATATGATATTATATTATTAGCATTTGATCTAGGAAGGCTATCCCATATCAGCTGATACATATATACATACCTTTAACTTTGTATGCTAATCCTGCTGATCAGGTCTGCTTTACTGCCATGTATCTGTGGGTACAACAAGTCAGCCTCCTTAAGCTGGGAACACATTGACTTATCTTATTGACCTTGGCTTGGCTCCTATTCAAATGCTGCTGTAAGGTCAATGTCAACATACAACATTATAAATTCATTCACCATTACTGAAGATATCATCAGGTTAACAAAACTGTAACTATAATAGAACTTTAAATGCATCTATATTATTAAAAGAATGAATCTGAATGCCTTAAAAATTACAAGCTAATGGACAGACTTTTCTTTGAATTATCATTTCCTTGATACCCCACATTCATCTATCATCAAGTACTGCTACACAGACTCATT